TGCAGTCCAAGGATTACCTGGAAATCATCGAGAGGGACTGTCATAAAATCACATGTTCCTTGTCAATCACCCACTTTTAGAGGGACTTCTCTTGCGACGCCGCCTACTGGTTTTGCTTCTGAATTAACAGCCTTAATCTGGCTAGAGTCTTTCACCAAAGCCAGACCAAGCCGCTGTACTTCCCGATCAGAAACAAAATTATGGGTTGCACCTGTATCGACCATTGCCTGGACAGCCACATTGTTCAGGCGAATCTGCACAAACATCAACCCCCTCTTTGCCACTGTCTCCTCTTTGCGAATTGCATTAAGAAGTTGTAATGGGTTGACTCGTGTTGGTTCGTCAGAACAATCAGTTTCCTCAGCCATGAGGGCACTGAGCTTTTCCTTCTTGGGGCAATTTCTGGCACGATGAGGGCCATTACAGATAAAACATCCTGAGTCAACACCTCCCTTTGATGACGAGGCTTTGTCAGTCTGTTTTTCTGAATTGCCAAACTTCTCAGCCTTTTTCTACTGCTTATCCTTCTTAGCAAACTTGGCTTTCCCTTTCTACTCCTTCTCTAGAGGATTAGCTTGCGTTTTGTAATCAACCAGCGCGTCTGCTGCGGACATAGCAGCGGGTAAATCCTTCACCCCTTGCCGACGAAGTTCTGCCTGTGCCCAAGTTTGGAGGCCAGACATAAAGTTGAACAGTTTGTCTTCCTCTGACATATTTTTAATGTCAAGCATCAGAGACGAGAATTGCTTCATGTACTTTCTCACAGTGCTTGTATGTCGAAGTTTCCTCAGTGCATCACGGGCTTGCCAAGCCGTGTTGCTGGGAAGAAATTGCTCCTTCATTTCAGCGGACAGAGACTCCCAAGTAGTAATTGGAAGACGAGATTTGTCCTCAGAACGTGTTCGCCACCATAATTTAGCATCACCGGATAGGTACATGCTAGTGAGATCTACCTTCTCAGCATCCGGAGTACGGATTGCTTTGAAGTAATGTCCCATATCCCACAGAAAATTCTCGAGTTCTTTAGCATTTCGACTGCCTTTGAAAGGCTTAGGGTCAGACACTTTAGCTTTCTGAGTGCTTTCACTGCCAGAAGCCACAGGGGCATTCTGCAATGCCCTCTTAAGCACTGAAACGTTGGTCTCAAGGGAACTCAATTTTTCTCCAATAGCATCGGTCCATGTGGAGATCGTAGCCAACACGTCAACGACTTCGTTTTTCACTCGACTGAAGTGATCAGATTCAGTCTTTTGAAGTTGTTCATGTGCAACACGCATCTCTTCGAACCGCTGATATAGCAACTCAATCTGCACAGAGAGAGCTATAGCATCACCAGACTGTGGAGGACCAACCAACTCCTCCAACCGTGCCACCTTTTCCCTTAGATCAACATTCGTTCCGCCAGCCATAATTGATCTGTTGCCAAAATCACGCTCTGATACCAAACTGTCACAGGGTAACTTTCGTTTTTCTTTTGAGGCTACCTGTGAAGGCGTTGCTATTACAACCAGCCACACTCAACTCAAGAATAAGGGACAGACACTCACATAGAAGGCACACACGAATCTACTGGGACAACACTCCCAAACCTTATATATTGAACTCAACAATTTACAAGGACTCTCAAAAGCCAGAACACTCTCCTCTCTCCAGAATGCTCAAGCACCTCTATTTATACAAGAGGAAGGCAGATGACACCCCCATCTGCCAAAGGGTAGTTACCCACGTTTTTGCTATTCCATAGCATACTGGACTAGTAGACTTGGTCTCTGTGCAACACCTGGCAGACAGTTCCACCACTTCAAGTAACTGCTGTGGAACTGCCCCTTCATCAGCATGCATCTAGACTGGATTCAGACTGGGGACATCCAGAACTGCCTCAGCAACTGCCTTGATTGAGTCTCAGCATCATAACTGCCCACATCCTCCTGGTCACATGCATTGAGCAGCCATGTGCCAATCAGGTGCCCACATTCAGCATTCATGTGCCCACATTCAGCAGTCATGTGCCCACATTCACCAGTCACCCTTGCTACTCGAACCAATGTGCATGCTGGGTTCAACCCATGCCATGCAATCCGAAGCTCTGCACCCACATTGCTTCAATTGAGCCCACCCATGTTGCCATACTCAACGGGTGGTCTCATGCTGCCTTGGTTCGTCCCAATCTGTCGAACCACTTAGCCGCATCACCTTGATTCCAATTTCTAGCATGCCTTGGTGCAAGGTGCCACCAAGACCGGCCATTTGCACCCAAGTCAATTAGGGTGTGACAGGTATGTAATAAGGTTTAGCATGAATACACATATTGAGAGTATCTTGACCCGCACACACACACTCCATCCTTGCAAGGATACACAACTTTAGGAAGGGTGTTTATCGATGCATTGGTAGTGATGAATCCAACCCAAAAATAGTATGTTAGCTCTCAGTCTCGATACCCGTAAGCGAATAGTAGTTTGGTACTTGTAAGACACCAACCCCATTTCGAGTGGTAGGAAACTTTCAAACCTATTCGGAGTAAAAAACGTATCTACCCACTTCACGATACTCGATTAATAGTCACCCATGTTCATCAAAACATCCATACAAGAGAAACAATACCAGACCAATTCACAAAATCACGGGTAAACCAAGAACCATAATTCCTCATGTATTTTTTCAACATAACAGCTCAAGAAAATATGCAAGAGGTCATTAAGAAATATAACTTTATTGTTCAAACAAACCATTAGAGTTTTTAAATCAAGAACAATGTAATATCAAGGGTAAAACCTATATTTCTTGAAAATTAGGGTTTTAATAGCAAAAACGAGAGTTTTTATTTAAACGATAACCTCATTCAAGACATGATACAATTTGTAAGAAAATCAAGAAATAATGATTTTACAAAATATACATACGATTTAGAATCAAAACATACATACATATTAACCTTTATCTCAACGAACAAGTTTAGGAAAAACTCTTACCTTAATTCTTGAGATCTTTGATTCTAACTTGTTTCATTGTGATTACCTCGCGTTAATCCTTCAAGATTCAACCCGTTCTTCTTTTTCTTCTCCTAAGATTTTTCTAGGTTTCTTGGGTTGAAAAATAGGTAAAGACACCTTAGATTGTGGCCTTAGGGAATTTATAGGTTAAAAAACGAAGAATTCCCGTCTGGGCGTGGGTAATAGTCTGCCCGGACTTCCAGCTCGATTTTGACCTTATTAGAGGCTAATTCACGAAATTTTTGTGAAATACACTTTTGTAACTCTTGAAATTTAGTTTCTACTGTAAAAATTTTTTGTCAGGGACGTCAGGGTAAAGAGTTATTGCCAAAATACTAATATAGTATCAAACTCTTTTTTACCCAAATCTTCTCCAAAATAGATTTTAACTCTAGAATACTTCTAAACTTCTCATACAACCCATATAACCTCTTCCAAGGTTTTTTCGACCTTTCAGATTTAATGGAAACCTTATTTTGACTTAAAAATATTTATAAAATTACTTAGCCACCCATATCAAACTTAATCATCTCTAAAACTCAATTTACCCCGAAAGTCAATACGCTTAAAATTCAAACTTCATAATCAATCTTTCAACAATGATTTTAAATTTATGCTATTATTTTATTCATCTTAAGAGAACTCTTAAGATAATATTATCCTTATTTAATTTTAATATAGGATCTTACAAAAGAATTACAACAACATTCATTAAAGTCTCATGATATCATATGAACTAGTGTCAATCCTTCCAAATTGTTAACGCTGACCAATTAAAATCTGTGATTGATCTCACCAGGTTTTTTTTGAAATTTCAGGGGATGTTAGTGCAATCTACCTTAATTATTATAGTCATGTATATGTTCTGTTCTACTTACTTGCTTTTTTTTTTTGTTTGGCAGTGCTGTTGCTTGGTGCGGGAAGCTAAATGCTATAGCATGTGCATCAGAAACTTGTGCACGAATCCCAAGGTTAGGTTATCACATTCATGTATTTTTGTTCCAGCATATTCCCTTCATGTGAATTTCTTTACTTGCATATTGACAATCATATATTTTTCAGGGTAACATTAACTAAAGACTCGGAACCAATAATACAATTACATTTGTAATGGAAGGTTGTGTTTTGGGGAAAAAAAATGGTATTAAAATTTACTAATTTAGTAGTCATTCAATCTGAAATCTTTTGTAAACTTTTAAAGCATGACATAAGCTCTTCATTAGTTTTGTTCCTTAATCTTCATGACCAAAATTGCCATGCCTTAAACTCAATTCATATCATTTAGAGTGCTAAAAACCTCAATAAATAAATAAATCTCTTGGGGCTTGTTTGGAAGCGTTTACAATTTTGGCTTTTTAAAAAAATGAAAAATAGAATCAGTTTTAGATTTTCGTTAGTAAAAAATGAAAACAGAAAACGTGTTTGGTTGCTTTTATAGTTGTAACAAAATCCGACAACAAAAACAGAAAACTCGTTTGGATGTAATACTTGAATTTTTTTTTTTTTTTTGACTAGCTTGTATACATTAACATAATTCTATGCTACCTTAATTACTATTGTCCATGAAATTATGTGTGCTGGTTACAAACAGCAAACTGTGAGACTTGTGCCTTTTTTTCTCATTTCTTGGTAACATTTGACCAATACATTACACATAGAAAGACATTGCTTGCTAAAAACTCCAATATCACAGCAATTTCTTAAAAAAGATAACTGAACAAGGAGATTTAAAAGACAAAATCAATGATCAACGCTTAATTAAGCCACAATTTATTACAATATAAAATATATCCTTAGTGTCTAAAACTTAACAAAAGCTAATTTAAAGGAAAACTATAACAATATTGCTCTTCAGAATTCTGCTCCTGTTGTTCTACATAACTGTGTGCAGATAGTGATTATGTCTTGACTTCACCCCAATGGTACTCAATAAAGATCCCGGATGATAATCAAATGGATGAGAGCCACATAACAGTACAAGAAATTTATCTCAGAAAATCGGGGGGACTAAAGGGTAAGATCTTTAGGGTCCTCGATTAACTGAGCTAGAGATTGCAAGAATGAAGCTAGATCGGAACCGTATATGACACGATGATCTGCCGTAACATTTGCCGGTAATTATTGCTTCGTCAAAATTCAGTACTCAACAAGAAGTTACTCGCACGGTCTAATGAAAAAATCAAGACATCAAATACTAATAGTGGAAATAAACAAGAGATTAACCTGCATCTGACTTCTCATGCCAATCCGACCGTCCTTTGTAGCAACTACAGAGGGCTGAGATGCTCCAACAGCCATGATTGCACCTTGTAAAAAAATAATTCGCATACATCAGTTACATTTGCTCAATTTGGTCAAATGACAGGTAATCTACTAGAGAGGATGAATTTAAATTTAATTGCCAAAACTTACAGTTCCTGGCAGTAAAATGGCATCAAAGTGATCTACACCAAACATTCCAAGATTTGAAAGGGTAAAGGTACCTGGCATACAAAAAGCCAGCCATAATAAGCAAATGTTTAATCTGGTCGTATTCTAACTGTTGTAATAAACATGAATGGGTTATAATTGACCAGAAGGAAGCCCACACCACATCAGCTCACATGAAAGATCAAATAATTGCCTTTTAACTGTCATATAGTTTTGACAATTCTTGTTCTTGATTTTCATCTGGGTTTTGCATTGAATCTCATATTTTTGTGTAAATTTTGACTTTTTTGTTCTTGATTTTGATCCACAAAGACGAAGACAAAAAAAATCAACAATACAGAACAAAAGAAAAAAAAATACCTTGATGGAGAACCTTTCACTGTCGAAGACGAAGGTTAGAACACCTTCGCCGTCGAAAGTTCAAGTTAATCCAGGAAGTTCAAGTTAACACACTCTTTGTGATGTATACAGCCAACCATAAAAGAATCAAAATCTTTTACTTTCTTGTCAAACACAAAACCCAAATGTAGCAGCTCAAAACAAATCCAATTAAAGAAGATTCAAACAAAATTAATAACGGTACAAGGATGGTACCATTACCATCTCATGTTGCAACACAAGACAAAACCTCAAAAGCACGAACCAAATTAGAATTTTCCTTCATAAATTAGATCATAAAACCCTAAATTTTCCATCAACAACATCGATTAACCATGTATATTCACCCCTAAACCTCATTCCAATCAACAGGAAACTGAAATTAATTTTCTTCCAAGTAGACATGTAGAGAGAGACAGAGGAGTTGAACATACATTGTTGCCTTTCCAGGTCTGATAGGTTTGTAGCAACTCCTTGTCATCGGCGGCACCACCAGTCAAACCAGAACTCTTCGGCGGAGGCACCATTAACCTTCACCGTCTGGGGTTGAAAGAGCGAGAGAGAGAGAGAGAGAGAGAGGGAGGGAGGGAGGTTTGGTAGCGAAGAGACGCTTGGAGAGGTTAGAGGAGTTAGGGTTTGGGATCAATCACTATTTATATGGTGGTCAATAAGTGAGGTTTTTTGGTGCTAACAAAGTTTGATCCCTTGACCTTATTAATGTTCCATGCGCGTTAAATGTTTTTGAAATTTTTCAAAAACGGCTTTTTTTCGTATTTGAAAATCGTCCATCGTTTTGAAAACGATGACAATAAAAAAAAAATGAAAACAGTTGTCAAACGAATTTTTTGTTCTGATTTTCTTCAAATATGAAAATAAAAACAAAAAATGAAACACATAAACGTTACCAAACGGGACCTTGATAATGAAATTAATTACAATTGTTTCAATCACCCAAAAACTACATATAAATAATTCACCATCAAAAGTTTATTATTTCTTAATCGACTTGATCTTCTACCACTTATGTTGTAAGATCAACTTGCGACTGAGAGGGTAAATGGAGGGGAGCTTGGGGAGGCCCAGTAAGTAGAACAAAACACAATATACATAATAGTTGATCAAACGATAATCAATTACCAAGGATCAATTGCAGAAGATTGGCAAAAATGATATTACTTTACAAATTCAACATGAAGAGACTTAATATTTTAATCTTTCAAATTACTAGTAGCTTTATACCCGATTCGTCTTGGCAACATGTTAGGTGTCACTTAGTGCATAAGAATTTCACACACACCTCTCAGGGCCACAATCACATCTTTTAACTATAATCATGTCACCGAGTACATTTGACGCATTTACTGCTAACTACCCAAGCAATTCACCCACAAAAATTATTTTTGGTATAATATACTCAATGAAATATCAAACGGATAATCAAATGACTTATTGGGGGTGGAATAATCAAAATACAATTTTGATTGATAACAACAAAAATGAACTCTTTGCAAATTTATCTATACCACTAATAAAAGTACCTTAAATAAAAAGTTTTTGATTCACTAATTTATCCTTATAAAGTATTTTAAATATCACATTACCTTTCTATAGTTAAATATCTAAGTTAAAATCATGTTCTTATGGACTTAAATCTCCAAATTATCCCATAACATCTCTTGTAATTCTCTATTCCTTATTTATAAATATCAAAGAACTATGAATTTTTTTAATTGACTACGTTACCCTTAAAAAATATATGCATCATTATAGTTTTTAATAAAGTTTTCAAAAAATCTTCAGAAACTCCATCAATAAATCATTATTTTTTCAAATATAAAGATAACATTATACCTACATTATAGTTTTCAATAAAACGTCTCAAAAATTTCATCAATCTAACATTGCTCGTTTCAAATATAAAAATAACGTTATGCTTACATATGTGTATTTTTTTATCCAAAAGTTCAACCATTTCATTTTTAAGATTAAAAATAAACTTTTATGTAGTATTTTTAAAAAAAAGTTTATGTTAAATCAACATAATACTTTAATTACAGTAAATTTTTCATGTTTTATTAAGAGTTTATATAAAATAGATTATAGTGTATTTTTAAGTAAAATTTGAATTTTAGAATTTTAATATTCTTTTAAAATATGTATTATAGAATAGAATATTATGTTTTAGGGTTAATAGCACTTTTAATCTCTAAATTATGCATATTTTGTTAATTTGGTCCTTATTGATCAATTTTGTTAATTTGGTCCTTAAATTATTTAGTTCAGCTGTGTTTGGTAATACAATGTTTGCATTTTTTTTGGTTTTTGTTTTCACTTTATCCTAAAAAAAAACAAAAATGTGTTTGGGGTGTTTTTTTTTTCTTTTGGCCAATCTGTTTTGTAAACAACCCCAAATATTGAAAACATGAAGATAGATTCTTTCAAAAACAGAGAAAAACAAAAACACTTGCCCGGAGGGGGGAATGGTTAAATGAGGTCTTGTCGTCAAACCCCATTAAAAGCAATTTAAAAAGATATTTGCCCGAGTATATAAACTACGAAAATTTCCCCCTTCTCATCCTCGCATCTCTCATCTCTCTCTCTCTCTCTCACTCTCTCACTCTCTCACACACACACACACATCTGTTGCTGTCTGAAGTGAACCTACTACTCTCTCATCTCTTGCTTGTCGAAGCAAAGACTATCTCCAGCTGAAGTAGGTTGATCTTGTCTCCGGCGTTGATCTCGTCTCTGGTGGTTCTCTCTAACTTAAAAAAAGTAATATTTATTTTCATTTTTTGAAGATCTGTACATATATATGTATCAATATGCATAGATTTGACCTATTTATGTATATATTTGACCTTTTTTGTATAGATGTATACATATATGTATCCATGTATTTCAATTTCAGATATAGGGGTTTTGTTTTCAATTTTTTGATATAGAGATTTTTTATTTCAATTTCAGATCTAGGGTTTAGGATTTAGGGATTTTTCTTCATCTCCATTTCAGATCTTTGTATTCTGTGTGGCTGGGCCAGTGTGTGTTTGTTGTGCGTATGTTGTCTATCTTACTGGTTCAGTGTGTGTGTGTGTTTATTGTGTGCATCTGTGTTGTGGCTGAGTCAGTGTGTGTGTGTGTGTGTGCGCATTTGTGTGTGGGTAAATGTGATTTGTTGTTGATGGCTTTCTACACTTAACAAATACATGTATATAAGGTGTTTGAATAAATGCCACCTTCAATTAGGGTCTATACTTTTGTGGGTGGGTGGGTGGGTCTATTGCATATCATAGGAGAATTAGGATTATTATGATACTTTAGGATATTGCATGTGGGAGGCATTGGGATTATTTCACTTATTTGGGATATTGCCTACTAGACACAAATTCATTTCTGTTTATTTATTGGACTGGAGGCTTTTCATTTGACTTCGTATGCTTGTAGGCTTTTTATATGCGTCGTTCTGTGAACATGTAAAATAATGCTCAATTTGTTTATGTTAAATAGTTATATCATTCATTATTCTGCGAACTTATTGATAGTATTTCATACATATGGTGTAGAGTAGACCTTTTGGTTGGTTTTATGCTTAATGTAACTAGTTGGGTTGGGATTTGAGAAGGTGTTATAAGTTTGAATCTTTGGATGCAGTTGTTATTAATAATGTCATGATGTATTGATAATTTGAATGTTTAACAACTTCTATTATTTTGGGTTGATATATTTTGTATTTTTTATGGGTTGATGGATGTATTGATATAAAAATGTGAATGTACTTTAGCATGAATTAATATAAAGTTAAAATATATGTCATAAAATATGTCTTATGTTTTAGTTTTTAGATTTCCTAAAACAACAATTGCATCCAAACACGTTTTCTGTTTCAACTTTTAACCATAGAAAAAAATAAAAACTGATTTTATTATTATTTTTTTTTAAATGAAAACGAAAATGTTACCAAACGCAACTTTAGTGTTTAAATGATCCATATATAAACAACCTATTAAGTTTTTGACGAAAGTGATCATGTGTTGGTCACGTGATATTGTTCGAAGGAATGACATGTGGTCACTTTCGTTAAAGAGCTAAATGGACCATCTAGTTACTGATCATTTAAACAAGAATTGAATATTTTAGGGATAAAATCCATATATTGAGGACTAAATTGACAAAACGCACTCACTTTAGAGACCAAAAGTGCTATTAACCCTATATTTTATTCCTATTGACCGAACTAATTCCTAATTATAGTAAGCATTAATTAGAATATTGGTAAATTTTTTTATTTTATTCAATGAATTATAAGTTGAAACCAAATCAAATAATTTTCAAATGAATTATTTTTATCTTTTTTCTTATACTTGGAATAACAAATCGTTAGAAACAGTCAATACGAGGGATAAATACATAATTTTGATAAACTTGAGATGATATTTAATTTAGGTACACATATACCTAATATTTTTTATTAATATTTTATATACGAAAATTATTTATTAGCAACACGTGGTGGACTGCAAGTAAATTTTAAATGGAAGCATATTAGGAGTTATTTCACTTACCTAATCCTTGGTTGACATCGTGATTGCGTTGACGAACTCCTCCCCGCCATTTTGTAAGAATTAATGTGATCCTTAAATGGAAACCCCAGTGTTTTTTTCTTAGAATTTCCCTCTAATTTCTTTCTCATCTTTTTTCTAGCCTTTTCTTTTATCTTTCCCTCTATTCTTTTCCCTTCTTTATCTCTCCTCTTTCTTTCTCACGATTTCCCCTCTTTTCTTCCCCTCTCTCCTCTCCTCTCTGCTTTCTTTACTACGATTTACAAAAAGGGTTTGACTGAATTTATAGGCAAATGCAAGGAGGTGGTGTCCTCTTGCATAACTTGAATCCTTTCTCACCTAACACATGGGTTAGGTTTTCCTTTGCATTGCTTGTGTCGTTATCCTTGCTCACCTGACACATGGCTTAGTAGGCGTTCCTTTGCGTTGCTTGTGTCATTGTTCACTTGACACATGGCATAGGACACTTGTGGTATTGACAGGTGTCGCATGACTCACCCATCACATGGATTTGGTACATAGACACTTGCCACTTAAGCAACACAAAATTACATAAACATGACACCTCTCAATATACTTGTCACATAGAGAAACACACTTTGCTTCATCGTGTTTACTACGTCTTTTTCTCGAAATTCACACACACTCTACTCTGGGCAGGTGTCCCATGACACACTCCAAATTAGATACTTGTGTACGTACATGGCTTCCACTTATCACACATGCATGGTTACACCTGTCTCGGATATTGGTTATTTATCATTGATATTTTTCTTTCAACACGAAACATAATATTATGGTCACTGGGCTCGTCTCTTTAAAAGGAATCTATTTAAGTCCATTTAACTATTTCAAATCTCCAAAGAAGTTACCTAATCATTTAATCCTTCAAATTCCTCAAATTTTCATCACCAATTATAACCATGGTTTTATAAAAAATGCAGGATGTTACAAATATGCTATTTATTTCTTGGAATTGGAGACATGGACCTTAGCCTTTAGCAGTCTCTACTTGTATAAATTGGAGCTGTATTTGTTGGAGCTTTCAGTTTTGAGCCTTTGGTTGTTATTATTACTATTACTTTTTTGTGTAAATTGGAGACCGGTTACCTGCTGAACATATGTAAAAAAAAATTGATGCAATTGACTGATTTGCTTGTCTTCAGGAAGCATGGTCAAATTTGTTGTATCTGAAGAAAGTTCTGCTTATGGTTGAAACTGTTCTGATTTCTTTCTTTTCTTCTTATAGTTCTAATGCAAATCCCCCATTTTGGATCCCCATACATATTGTGATCCCAGAGCGACCAACTGAGTGTACGGTGTTTAATGTCATAGCAGGTATTGTGTACAACTTGATAAAGTTATGTCATTATTTGGCTGCAAAAGTTGAGTTTTAATTGTGATGAATATTGTCGTCATTTTTGTAAACTGAATATTACCTTTGAAAATATTTGCTTTATCACTTTCTGTGCGATTTAATAATTAGTGGACTAGATGTGTTGACGATTTTTGTGAACTGTCTGTGTACAGATACTTTTTTTGACGCTGCCATATTTATCGCCTCATTTCTTCCGATTCCTTAGCTTATAAGTGCTCATCAAATATTCTAGGCATTTTTAATTTCTTCACCGCCTCTTGTGGGAGTTCCAGCCAGAAACAAATAAACTAGTATGTTTACCAGTTGACATAAAATGGAAGTCATTATATCTGTTTGGTCTATCAAGCTAGTAATATTATCATTTACAATGATTACAATTATTGCAATTTATTTCAATCAAAGCAAGGCCCATCAGGATTGAAGGCCTCAATCATGTGTTGAGCATTTGGATGATGGTAAGAGCCTGTGTTGATTCACAAGCAAATAGTGACGTACTGATCATCGTGATTGTTGTTGTTGTTTTATGTTCTTATGGAACTTATCACACAAATCTTCTTGAATTGGTTAAAGATTAGGATTGGAGCAGTCTATTAGTTGTTGTACTGCACAATGAGGAGTTACTGTTGTTTTTACATTGAGATTTGTTTCTGTGAACTGTAACTTGTTACATTGGATATCTTTGTGCAGATTCTCCTCGTGATTCTGTTCAGTTTATTGAATGGTCCCCTACTTCTTGCCCTCGTGCCTTGCTAATAGCTAATTTCCATGGGCGGATAACTATCTGGACTCAGCCTTCTCAAGTAAGCTAGCCTTACTGGACTATTTACTTCAGAAGCAACAGTGGTCTTTGTTTCAGTTGTAGGTCTGCACTGTTTCTTTGTGTTCTTGGTTAATTATGGAGGTTAACCTCTCTCTCTTTTCTCTACCCCTTGCCCCCACTATCTATTGGTGCTTTTCTGTGACCTTCCCTGAATTGGGAAACCAACAAGTCACTTACATGACCTGATTAAAACTTGAAGACCCGAACACCCATCGTGTAAATTAATTTACCGATGTTTGTTTCACCATGTCTGTGTATGTACATTGCATGTTTATTGAACTCGAGCTTCTCTCTTCCTCTACGATCTGCCCCCCAAACCAACCCTGAGACACATAAACATCTTCTTTAATATATCTTCCTCTCACTCGGCAATCCCTAAGCAGTGAGTGCATGCACACGTATGTATTTATGTACGTATGTATATTGCACATGGAAGTTAGCAGAAGAAGGCACACACTGTGGCTGCTATTATTGGGTCCATGGGATGGACTTCACCGACTGACAATGGAAGTGGAATTTGTTTATGGTGGTTGCGAAGGTAATAGGTCCTTGGGGTGGGGTGGGGGGGGGGGGTGAGGACATTCTGAAGGTGTGTCCATGTGAGTGGTTAAAGTGATGGGTTAATGGAGTATTCCACCTAATGTAGGATTATTGAGATAAGAGCAAAAGAGAGAACAAAGAAGAGGGTATGGGGCGGAGAGAAATAGAGCAAGGAAAGAGGAGGAGAAAGAAGGAGAATAATAGAGAAGGCAGATCGGAAAGACGAAGAGCATGAATGGGAGAGAATGGATGGGAGGGATGAGAAAGAGAATTCCAATTCCAATCAATTCAATAATGCCAAAGCAGAATCCTCCTTGTACAAGGCCTATATGCATAGGCAACCCCCAATATTAACCAAATTAAAATATTCTTTAAAATGATGGTAACAATATTTAAATTCTTAAACAAAGACAAAAAAGCCAATGGTCCTAAATTAGAAGGTAATCTCAATATTAATCCCAACATTCTAATCTTCAATACACAACACTGAATAGTTATCAGAATTCACTAAATCTCTGATGATCTACAATCGGGTATATCGATTCTAAACGGGGTGAGTTCGCGATCCAGATCATCAAAATGTACGATTCCAAATTGTACATGTAACACAAATATAAAATACATATTAATTAACTACGCGTATATAGATTTATAATTATAAATTGTTTAGATAATAGAAAATCGAGCACAAATGTAAGATAAATAGTAACTGACTTAATGTTTATGGAAGTTCTAAGATGTATAATGTTGTATAGTGTTGAAAATGATCTAGATAAGAGTTTCAAAACTGATTGTGACCCAAAAAACGTATCAGCTAAGCCTATTCCCATCGTACTGCGTATCTCGTATCCGCATCATGTTCCCTTTATGTTCCCCATCACCAGCCTTTGCTATTACATGAATCCAACCAAGCTCATCCTTGGTAAGCAGTTTGGGTGTTGATTTTGCCTTTGATCTCGCCAAAGCTTTCTCTCTTTTAGGTGCGCTACAAATATAGTTCAAGAAGAAGGGGGTCAATGGTTGGGTCCATATCTGGGTTTGGCTAGTGTAGTTGGTTCAAATGTTAAAATATGGTTTTATTCTGTAAGGATTTTCATGGTTGTATTAGAGAGGGACTGTTGGGAGGTGCGGTTTAATGGTTGAACTGTGTATCACCATATTTGGCAGCATATTTTTTTCGGAAATCATGTTAAATTTTGGTTAGTGTGATGAATTTGGGTGTGTCTGAAGGTGATCATGGTGAAGGGATGGGTCTGCCAACAAGGGTGTGAGAGCAGTGGCGATATTTAAGATAATGGGTCTGTGCGCAGGCGTGAATGTCATGCCGATGAAGATAATGGGTCTGTGTCTGATGGTGTTGGAGCTGGCAGTTATTTAAGATTGTATATGGGTGGTGTGACGGCCATGATGTTTTAGTCAAGTGGTGGTTGTCAGGGTGAGAGTCTTGGAGAAGCTGCGATGGCATTGTTGGTGGCTTTACTGGTTGCTTTGATTGGTGGTTGCAAATGGGCCTCTGATTAGTTTGATATTTGAAGGAGGCTTGGTTAATGGTGGTGGGAAATGATAGAGTGATGGCTTAGATTAATTGTTTTCAAATGAAATTTGGATGGTCAGGGGTGTGACAGAATGGTGATCCAGTTTGATAAGTGTTGTATATATAGTCTTCTGGACAGAGGGTAGGGTGATTAAAAGTTGGAGGGGTGATGGAACTGGTGCTTGGCAGTGGTGATGCTGATACACTGGTGCCAGCAGTTTTAAAGATAAAAGAGGGAGGGAGGAAGGGGGATAGGTGGGTCAGCGGTTTGAATGCACTGGTGCCACAAAGGTTAAGTTTTGCAAATTTTACTTTTAAAAAAAGGGGTGATGGTGGTGGTGGTGTTTGATGTTTCCCATGCAACTTACCCTTTCTTAGTTATGCCATAGCAATCTTTTACCAAGTTATCATTTTCTTTCTGAAAAATGATACTTATTCTTATTGAGCTTCCACTTGGTTTGATTATCCAGGGCACGGCTAATCTGGTAAGAGATGCTAGTTGCTGGCAGAGGGAGTATGAGTGGCGGCAGGATATTGCAGTTGTTACAAAATGGCTATCAGGAGTGTCTCCAGTATGCAGTTATTATCTTTTTTTTTTTTTTTGCGGATGCAGTTTTTATGTCTTGTTATACTACTTCATAATTTAATGCATATTTGATGTTAAGTTTTGTTTGTCATTAAACATTAGTATAGGTGGCTTTCCTCGAGGTCCAGTAGTTCCACAAAGTCAACTTTTGAGGAGAAATTCCTTTCACAGCAGCCACAAGCTCCAGGTTCGTTTCTGGTTCTCATGTCTGCTTAATAAGGGTTTGTCATTGTTCTGCCAGGAAGTTGTCGAGGACTCGAGCTTAATTTTATTTGTGCGCAATCTGGAGTTTGTAACACAGTATTATTTGTTGTTCTTCTTTTCTATGAGGAATTATTTGGATTAATTGTCGCCAGAGTAATAGCATTACGCACAAGTAATGTATCAGTGTTTACCATTTTCTTTAGAATTATGGGGGACATGAGGGGAGCTTTCTTTGCTTTTCTGGTAGCTAGGATTTTACCAACATTTATTTCGATAGGAAACGAAAACTTTTATTAATGAAAGGATTATACCAGCATTGATCCCACCCTATGTTTACAGTTGGCTACAAACAAGAAAAAGGGTGGTGGGGCATGAAGGGGAGTTTTCTTCAGTAGTGGGTGGGGAAACTGTGCCGGGAAGTTCGGGGTTTCATGACTTCCAGATTCCTTCTTTAGCCTTTTGATGGTATTATATGTAAATTGTCAACTCTTGGGGTGTCTCACTACCTTCAAAATTATGGTCCATCAATATGATCACTAGTATTGTTGGAGGCCATAGAAGGCATCAAAACAATCTTATGTGTTGTTCCTAGAAAGCACTGCCTTGCTAAGGATTATTCCGTAAAAGTTATCGGGGCCTTTTGATAAAGGACGTTGCCTTGTGTTGGTCTTGTGACATGCATGGTGTTGGTTGGTAGAGAGTGTAGGCGAACTGAACCTTATATATAATGAAATTTGACAGATCCTCAATTTTTACCTTTACTCTGTTAAATTTTGAAAATATGACGGTTTTGGTGTGAATGAGAGAGGATTATTTTGCTTCTGTCTACAACATATAGCCATGGTTGCTTCTCTAAATTGAGGGATGTACATGAATGATTGGAAAATCATTGAAAAGGAGCTCTGTTCGACATGTGTAACTATAGTAGGTAATATGAAGACATGCAAAAGCTGTTGGCATCTTACGCCTATGATATCCTGTCATGGGTGGTTATTTCTAGGCAGATAAGTTGTACAGGGTTGGTTCTTGTGAAGTCCAATCAGCTCCAGCAGCTTAGAAAATTTTCCACCTTTTCATTTACAATCTAATTTTTTTGAACCTTGCTTTTTGGAGCCAAGGTTTAATCTATGTATCTGGTGAAAATGTTGGAGTGGTGGCAAATACGTTGCGGTTATCATTTGGCAGTGCATTGCTGCTGCTGCTGTTATAGTCATCTATTACAGCTTTCCTTGATAGTCTTCTCCCTGTTTGACATATTTTTCTTGCAAAATGCGAAGAGCACAGTATATCTATATGTCATTATGTAATGCATTTTCTCTTGGTTTTGATGACAGCTGGCTGGCCAAATTTTCTTTGTGTATGTTCCGTTTTCTCATCAGGCTCTGTTCAACTCCACTGGTCTCAATGGCCGCCTAATCAGAGTGGTGCAGGATCAAAATGGTTTTGTACGAGCAAAGGGCTATTGGGAGCTGGGCCTAGTGGTATTATGGCTGCTGATGCTATCATAACAGATTCTGGAGCCATGCATGTGGCAGGTGTTCCAATTGTAAATCCGTCAACCGTTGTTGTTTGGGAGGTAACACCTGGCTCTGCAAATGGATTTCAAGCAACTCCAAAGACAAGTGTGAGCAACGGAGTTCCACCTTCACTTAATCCTCCTTCTTGGGATGGTTTTGCTCATCTGGCTGCATATTTGTTTAGCTGGCAAGAGTGTTTGCTATTGGAAGCCAAGCAAGGGAGAAAGCAGACAGAGCAAGATTATAGTGACATTGTAGCACTTCATTGTTCACCGGTTTCAAATTTTTCTGCGTATGTGAGTCCTGAGGCTGCAGCACAATCAGCGACCACCACTACATGGGGCTCTGGAGTTACTGCAGTTGCCTTTGATCCAACTCGTGGAGGTTCTGTGATAGCTGTCGTGATAGTTGAGGGTACTGTCTTGTGTTAACGTGAACTGATCTTATTTTCTTTCTTTCTTTCATTCTTTATATCTTTCTGTTTATATTTTAGATTCATCTTGCTGAGGGAGCAAATTTACTCCTGCCTATATATTTGACGTTGTGAAGCATGCATTTTTTTGCAGTGCTGTTAATGTGGGCAGTATACTGTTGTTTATCCATGTTACTTACTCTGTTAGTTTATCACATTTTTAAGCAGCTAAGGATGTTTGGTCATGCACTTTTAACATATAGGGCTCTGCTTGATATTTGTTTTTAAGTACCTATTTGACTTGGTATTTCAAGCCACTAGATGTTATACCATGGGTTATCTCTTTTGTCTTTATACATAAGTTTCAGGCTTACAGAGCTTGATTCTATTTCTATTTGGCTTATGTCGTTGAACCATGTATAACCAACGAATCTAGTTCCTCACATGCACTTTTTTAATTGTCTTATCCAGTATTGCTATGAGTACATATTGGGTGGCTATTAAGGTCCAGTAGGTATCTTGCTTCTTACATTGTTCTGCTATGGGATTGGTGATATTTCTTATTGTAACATTATCACCGTCATCATGATTATCACCATTATTTATATTATTAGATGGATAATGTTCTGTTACTTATGATATCTGTACTAATGTGTATACTATGGTGCTATATTTTGATTGACCATCAAAAGATAAGCTGCCATCAAAGTATTTATGCTAATGAAATGGAAGACTTAAACTTTCCCCGACTTTATGAACTACTTGAAACAACATATACTCAAACTCAACTTAACTCAATAAAGCCTTGTCCCAAGACTCCCAACATTTTTGGAATTGGCTGTATAAAATATTGCGAGTTGTTGTGTCCAATATCCCTGGAGGCATAGGGCTTCTACTTGGTTATCATGATTAGTTTCAATATTTTTTTAGATGATAGGCTCATTACATTTGAAATGAGGAGTGCGACCTAATGCACTAGGTTCGTGCCACTACAGGATCTGGGGATGGTCTGATGTACACATCCTTGCCCCTCCGCATGTGGAGAGGCTGTCGCGAAAAAGGAAATTTTTAAAGTTTTTATTTGTAGCACAGTAAAGATAGAAGGCATGACATCTGAAGGAAAGAATGGGATCTAGGGTTCAAGTCTCATTGTCAACAATCGGAAAGAATCCTGTATTTGTGTTGAAGTTTGACACCATTCTCATCTGAAGATTTTAGTTGTATAGGCTAATCAGTTGTTGATTTTATCTCTGCAGGGCAGTACATGTCCCCTTATGATCCTGATGAGGGCCCTTCAATTACAGGATGGAGAGTTCAACGCTGGGAGTCGTCTCTTGAGAACGTTGTCCTCCATCAGATATTTGGAAACCCCACTTCCAGTTTTGGTGGGCAGACACCCAAGCAGACAGTTTGGGTAAGCAAAGTGAATAAATGCATTCCAGCAACTAATGATTTTAAAAGTCCCCAAGCAGCTGCTGCTGGACCAACTTCTGATGGACGAAACACATTCGAATCTGGTGTTGAGAAGGGAAAGAGGGCCAGTTTTGATCCCTTTGATCTGCCAAGTGATGTTAGAACTCTTGCTGGAATTGTGTATTCTGCTCATGGTGGTGAGATCGCTGTTGCTTTTTTACGTGGTGGGGTTCACATTTTCTCGGGTGCAAGCTTTACACCTGTTGATAACTACCAGATCAATGTTGGTAATGCCATTGCTGCTCCTGCTTTCTCTTCTACGAGCTGCTGTTCAGCTTCTGTCTGGCATGATACCAGCAAGGATCGTACTATACTGAAGATAATTCGTGTTCTTCCTCCTGCTGTTCCAAGTTGTCAAGTTAAAGCCAACTCTTCAAGTTGGGAACGTGCAATTGCAGAGAGGTACTCTATAGACATGTTTTTTTTATGCATTTAGAATAACTTTGATATGACAAGTAGTAAATTCCATTGGTCTTTATATTATCCGAAGTATATGGTCCGGAAATTACTTAGGAATTCTGTGTAATGATGTTGTTTCTTTAATCCTGAATAATCAAGGCCATGTCTTGGCAGATTTTGGTGGAGTCTTTTAGTGGGAGTTGATTGGTGGGATGCTGTTGGTTGTACGCAAAGTGCGGCTGAAGATGGCATTGGTAAGAGTGCTTAAATAATTTGACCATGTGATTATGATAAAACGCTGATTAAACTCTTGGACTGTGATTGGATATACTCGAACTGATGCAATTATTAAGAACCAGCATCGATACTGGGCTCGGCAATTCTAAATATGTGATTGGTAGGGTTCTATGAATAAAGTTGTCACATTTTTCCATAATTCCGTGGAATTTAAAACAAAAAAGTGGTCACCTGCCTCTGTTTTTAACAGATAGGTTCAAGTTGCTATTCTGTTTACCGCAGCTAAGGATCAAAATTTTGTTTCTTTTCAATCAAAAGGGCTGAAACATTTCGAAAGAGACACAAAAGTGGTGCTGAAATATATACATTTCAAAAGAACACACCCAAACAAACTCATTTCAGTTTTGGACTAATAAAATCTTCAACATAAGTAGTCTTCTAAATTTTTTGCGGTCATGGAAAGATTTGAAAACAGTTAATTCATCTTAAATTTTTTTACAGTTTGCATATGTAGAGGTGGTGGAGAGAGATAGGGAGAAGATGATAGAGCTACTTTCAAACCATTCTCTCTCTATCTCATGCATATCTTTTTCCTTGTTTAGCTGCTTCTAGATTTCTTTGGAAAATGATTCCTCCCCCCACCCTTCCCCCTGAAAACACTGAAATTACCGCATTAGGTCCCTTATTCTTTTAATCTTTATCTTCACCGTTATTTTCTAGAACGAGCCCTCAGCTCTTGTTTGATAGAGGAGATTCTTCACCTTGACAAGATTCCTTTGACTTGATTTTTTATCAATTACTGGTATGTTTGGGATAAATGTCTGGATCTTATTTAGTTGGGCCCTTAAATCGCTAGATGATACATATGTATTCTTTTGGTAACAATAAATTGTTTATGATTACTTTCAAACTCCTGATGTTTCTGCATAAAGAGAACTTCTTCCTTTCCATAAATTATAAACTCTGTTTGCCTGGAAATTTCCTTGGGGATTCAATGCCAATCATGTATATTTGCTTCAAGATTTTTCTTATATCTGTTCTCTTAGAAATTCGAGTAGGATACAAATGCCTACGATGGCTTGTTAATGAAATATCCTTGCATGTCTTTAACTGAAAAATTCTTTGGGCTGGGTATTGACTCTTTTTAATGACAGTGTTATTCTTTTATTTCAGTATCCCTTAACAGTGTCATTGCGGTGTTGGACACGGATTTCCACTCTCTTCCTTCCACTCAGCACCGACAACAATATGGACCTGTATGTTTCATTGAACTATTTCCATCTCTGTTCTCCTGGTCTCTATGTTAAAGTACTATTTAGCTTCATATGGGGGTTTGAATCTTGATTACGTCGATTTTAGTTACATGCTGTGTTGTGTGAAATCTTTCCTTCCCACTGCATTCTTCTTGTTTTATTTTATCCTGTTTTTACTTACGTGACTTGCTTGGTTAATACTTCATTTCTCATGTGAGTTGCATGTTGGTTGGGATGGGTCTAACCACACCCATGCTTCCTTTTTTTTTTTTGTCTTCCGGTTTATGGGTTTAGTTTTCGAAAAAGAGAATGGTACAATACAGTTCAAAACATGTCCAGCCACACAGCATACTCTAACATTAGAGATGCTCTGGCAGAACATAGTGTACTATGGAAAATGCTATCACAACTTGATAGGCGTTATGAAAGAAAGCTCTCTCACATCTCGACAGTCTAAAATCATACCATGCCTAAATAAATGGTGCAATCAAATTAAGCCACATGCATTTTTTTTTTTTTGGGGGGGGGGGGGCAGGTGGCATTTCGAGGGAATAGGCATCAATACTAGAAGCTCCTAAGATGGTTTCTCCTTATAGTTCTACCTCATTCATTATTCTTCCATATAGGCATGGGACTAAGCATTTTTCGGCGTGAAAGCACAAGTATCTGCCTTGGAATCTTCAAGCTCAAGAAGTTTCCTTAGCGATTCATTCTCGGCAGCCAAGCTTTGACAATTTTCCATTTTTTACTCGTTCAATATGCCTCCTTTCTAGGAGAACTAGCAGCCAAAGATGAAGTCCCCTTATTTGCAAGTGAATGCTTCATTTGTTATGGTTACCATGAATATTCGTTCTATTTTCCTATTTTGATGACTCATGAGGAGAAATCACATCTTTCTCCAATTTCCTTCTTGTTCCTTCCCTTCTTTCTTTCTGTTTTCTTTTACCCCGATAAGAAACAAACTTTATTAAAAAGTGAAAAATAGAGAAATGATGGACAAAAAGTTCAATTCAACCAAATACAAGATACTTGGAAAATTAAAACAATGATCATACAACACTAGTCATCACAGTACACAATTGCATTCCATCCATGATCAATGAAAAATAGAAGCAAATCTCGAAATTCTTTCCTTTCCTTCTTTCTTGCTTGAATCATGGACTTTGGAAACTTCAAGCTCTTGTGGAAGCAAGGAAGGAATAGGAATTGGTAAATGAGTTACAAAGTAGAAAATTTCTGTTTGTTAACAACTATAGGAGAGAACTCGCTAATCTGTTTCTTCTTTCCATCTTGAATGCCTTGGCCTTTCTTACAGCCGAGGAAAGCTTCAAATTTGATGATACTTTTAATGTGTTTCTATATTTTTAACAGTAAAATATATTATAATTTGATATAATCTTTGTAATATTGGTATCTTCCAATGCTCAACAGTAACTTTTTATCATTGTGGAAGTTGATAATCATCATGACCTTTTGGTAGCCAGACCTCATCAATTTTTGACCAGCCACTTACTGTTCAAGGGAGCATTGAAAACCAAGTACAAATGATACAAATTGCGCTAGAGTTAGATGATGCGAAATTTCACTTATATTGCCTTGTCATCCTTTTGTTTATTTGTTGAGACTCATACTCTATGCTGATATGAGTTGGTTGTGAAGTTCTACCAATCGCAATATGAATAACTTGTCCCTTATCCTGCCTATTTTTCATTGACCGGTGGAAGAGAGAATCCCTTCTTCCATTTCATGCAGGACCTTTCTTCCCTTCCTCGTTTCCGCTTTAGTTGTTATACTACTTAGCCATACTTTGTTTGTTATCTGTTGGGTTTCTGTGTCTTAATAAAATTAATTTTAACGATGCAGAGTCTAGACAGGATAAAATGCAGGCTATTAGAAGGTACAAATGCTCAAGAGGTTAGGGCAATGGTTCTTGATATGCAAGCCAGATTGTTGCTGGATATGCTTGGGAAAGGAATTGAATCAGCTCTGATAAATCCTTCAGCTTTGGTAGCAGAGCCATGGCAAGCGTCTGGTGAGACTTTATCTAATATTGATCTTGAAGCAATGGCTGTTGACCCCGCGCTAGCATTGAGCATCCAGGTTTGCTTTTGGCACTTTTCTCATTTTCGTTTTTATTTGCTGCCTCTCAGTATTATTGTTTCCTTCATTTCAACAAATGGTCTGAAATTGATCATATTACCTGAAGTGTTTAGTTTTCTAATTGTCCAAGCAATATGATGCAGGCTTATGTTGATGCAGTCCTTGATCTAGCTTCACACTTTATCACTCGCTTGCGACGTTATGCAAGTTTTTGTCGGACATTGGCAAGTCATGCTGTTACTGCAGGTACAGGTGGAAACCGAGGTATGGTGACCAGCCCTACCCAAAGTTCCGCTTCTCCTGCAACAACTCAAGGTTAGTGTGCACCCCACATTTGGTTCTATGATGTTAATAATGTTTACTTATGGTGGGTTCATCAGTTGGAGGAACACTGAGTTCTAAATCCAGTTTCTTATTTTCCATTTTTTCTTCTAAATGTGTCATTTTTGCTGATGGTGTGATACCATGTCTGTCCAGGAGCTCAAGGTGGTACTGCAAGTTCTGCTGGAAGCACTCAAATACAAGCTTGGGTACAGGGAGCTATTGCAAAGATCAGTAGCACAGCTGATGGAGTTCCCAATTCAACCCCAAACCCCATAAGTGGCCCTTCATCCTTTATGCCTATAAGTATCAATACAGGAACTTTCCCAGGAACTCCAGCTGTCAGGCTTATTGGGGACTGCCATTTCCTTCACAGATTATGCCAACTTTTGCTTTTTTGTTTTTTCTTTCGGCGAGTTCAACTACCCCGTTATGGTGGCGGTGCTCAAAGAAATGCGGATTCATCTATGCAAAAATCTCAGCCTAGTGGCCCAGGCAAGGTGGAGGAAACCAACTCTGTTTCCACAAAACCCGCATCGGCTATGGTTAGGTCAGAAGACGTACAGGTTTCTCGGGCTGGTCAGGTTGGCACAGGATCAAAAGGACCTGAAGAAGGTCCAGCTAGCCGGTCAAGGTTAGGCTTTGGCAATGCTGGTCAAGGATACACTTTTGAGGAGGTAAAAAATGATTGTCTTATGATTTGATACCAAAGCCTCGTATGAAATGAAGGTCCTACATTAAGTTTCAGTCTAATATCTGGTTGATATTCAATTTGTGTAATTCTTGTCAGGAAAGCCAAAAGGAAGGGGTAAAATATGGAGGAAGAAGAAGAAAAGAATTTAAATAACCCATTAACTAGGAGAGCTTGCTCCATGTGTCAAAGCTTTGAGATTCAATAACCATCTAGTAAAAATCCAAGGTGATTCTATGTAGGGGTGTAAATAGGCCACATGGTGATGAACATTAGGAATATTATGTGTGCCTTAATTGAATAGATTTTGTGTTTGAACTCAGCTCGAGCCCAGCTGATTTTCATGATGCATGATTGCAGTTAGGCCGGCTTATTATAATAAATCTAAGCAGCCGGTACATGGTGATTTCAAGAAATGGAAGTGGTTTATGTGTTTGTTCACTCCATTTGATTGTACTTACATTGAATGTTTTTCTCTCACAAGAATAATTTCCGATTCAGATTACATAATGTCTTCAATATAATAAGACGTTATTGTATTGAAGATGATAGAATGATTTGCAAGTAAAAGTGAGAAATCAATGGTTCTTTTGTCATTTTCTCCTTGTCATCTGATAATGTCAAACATGAGAATATTCGAGAAAGCACTGAATTTACAACTTAATTTTGAGGAAATTTGACGAACATATACTACAAGCCAATCAGCCAAACCAGAGCTGATCAAGCTGAGCTTTTTTGTCCAGATAAGCTTAAATTCAATTTTGTTTTCAGTTTCAATGTGTAGTTACTTTTGGCAATTCAAGCTCCAGCACATTGGTTCGAATTTCTGTCCTAGATTCTGGTCCTTTGTCTTTCATGGTGTCCTTCTTGAACATCCCAGTTTTTTCAGTACATGTAGCAAACTATTTGCCACTGTCATGCAGGTGAAGGTCCTGTTTCTCATACTCATGGATCTCTGTCGGCGAACAGCAGGTCTGGGACATCCATTGCCAGTTTCTCAGGTTGGGAGCAGCAACATCCAGGTCCGCCTTCATTATATCGATGGGAACTATACTGTCTTACCAGAAGTTGTTGAAGCATCTCTTGGTCCTCATATGCAGGTACTTCTTTTGTTAACTAATTTGGTGGAAGATTACTGCCAACAGGTTACATATGCTTTGTTTTCATGCTTGAACTGACTAGTTATGCTGCAAACTGTTTCTTCTAGCTGATATAGTATAAGACCAAATAAAGGATATATTGTAAGGATTATAAAATAGCATTTTGTGTTGGGGAATAAAGCTACTGCATGATAAATTTCCTTAGTTGCAATAAGCCCTACCGTAACCATATGGACATTCCATGTTGGCTAATGCAATGAAAATAGGAAAATAACACAAATAAAGATTAAAGAAATCTATAAAGGACTACTTCATCCTAAGGACAATAAAAATCTTTTTAGTTGGTCAGTTTTCCCTTTTTTTCCTCACTCCTAATCCAAACTATTCTGACATTCAAAAAAGGCAACGACTGGGATTCTGGATTGGCAGTTGTTGCTTTTTGTTCATATGTGTATTCTAATTTTGCAATTGGTTTGGATGTAGCGCCAAATAAGATGCATTTCCTAATTAAGATTGTTAAAATAAGGTTAATTTTGTCAGCAATTTCATAGCTACACTTACTTGCAAGCACTTCTGCCTGTGTAGTTTGGAAACTTGTAGTGGGAGTGCATGTGTAAGCACTAGGTGGTGGATGTTATCATCGACTTAATCCTGGCCCTTGGCATTTGTTTTTAATATTTATTTTCGCCTTTGAATGAATGTAACAGGAAATATCGCTGTGATAAATGCTGACAGGAAACCAACTCTAAGGAAAGGTAGGACTAAAACCAGACAGAGCCAACTCATATCCCTCGAGGGGTCAGAAGTGACCTTCAAAGGTTACTTAAGCAGTATTTCCTTGCTTAGCCTTTAGATCAGATCTATAATAAGTTAGTCTTGTGACCCTATTTGTTTCTGCCCCTAAGGAGCAGAATAAAATTTATGATCTCTTGATTAAGGCAGGCATGGTGCTGAGAATGACACCCTCATTTATGCAATAGTGGATTTCCATCCACAAAGCTTCCCAGAGGCCTTAAATGAGCTTTAGATTTCTGATCTACATCAAACCCAATGCCTATCAGCTATAAAAAGGCGGAGATTCCTTTTGCCAGAGTGATATGTAAAATGGCCTCAAATCCCCAAATAGACTGGGGTTACCAGGAGCATTACTGCCATAACATCAACATTAAATTTGATTTTTTGTTTTGAAGAATGCCTCCAAGTTCCCCAATTAGTCTTGCCCCTCCACATAAAGAAAAAGGCTGTATCCAACCTTCATGATCAAATTCAAGATAGTTTTTTAATTACTTTATCCCAAAATAAGTTTAAATTTGTTTTTTCATCTTTCTTGATATCTGATATTATTTATTTCAGCTCCTGCAATTCTTTCCTATGCTAATGAGCTTTCTACACAGAACATGCCCCGGCCAAGAGGTGCAGACGCCGCTGGTTTGTTACTACGTGAGTTAGAACTCCATCCTCCTGCTGAAGAATGGCATAGACGGAATATGTTTGGTGGTCCCTGGTCTGATCCAGAGGATATAAGTTCTCTAGATGACACCCCCAGGCTTAGCAGTTCGATAGATCCAACTGACGTGACCTCATCAGAAAACTGTGACGTTTACTATGGAGCCCATGGTTTGTGGCCAAGGAAGCGGAGGATGTCTGAAAGAGATGCTGCTTTTGGATTGAACACTTCTGTGGGCCTGGGAACATATCTTGGTATAATGGGATCTCGAAGGGATGTTGTAACTGCTGTATGGAAGACTGGGCTTGAAGGAGCGTGGTATAAGGTTTGTTTTAAATTTTAAATTCCAATGCTTCTTACTTTTAACTTATTTATTACAGTCTAATCAGAAAAATACACAATAGAGGCCTAGGGCATCGTAAAAGAACGTAAACGACTAAACTACCCCTAATACTAAATATACTAGACTACTCTAACAAAATACACCCTACATTTTGTCTGTTAGTTCAACCCTGCTGTTAGCACCACATTTTTATTGGTCATAATTTTATCAACTGATATGAGCTGTAATGATTTTCATAGATTTTGAATACATGTTTTAATTGGCTGTGGATTATGGATATGGAATTAATAACTGTTCATGAAGGGACTAAAGCTAATTCTTTCGTGTTAATCAAGATGAAAGAGTGACATGGCGGATCTCTTCTTACACCAGATTCTCCTAATCTCAGTATGGTATGATGCCTATGATGGCAACTATGCATATAGGGAGGCTAATAGTGTAGATTATGATGGTATTTGGGGCTTTCAATAGAGGAAAAAATCATTGTCCAGATAATCTTCTGTGTGCTCTTTGCCTGTTTTAGAGTCCAGTAGACAGTGGTTTATTTCGAAGGGTTTCTGGTATATTGGTTTTGTGTTTATGTCAATTTTTTGCTAACCAAGTAATTCAATGTGAATTCTGACATTTGCTATTATTTTGTTTGAAATCTAGTCAGCTCTCTCTCCTGCCCCCTCTCCTTTCGTGTGTGTTTGTTCCAGATGTTTATTAGTTTTCAGGTTTTTTTATTGTGGTTTATGAGTCTACTAGTAATTACCTGTGCCTGAAGGCACGGCATAACGAAAAATTAAATTAAAACTCAAAGAATCCTACGACGTTACCTAAACTCTTTACAACATAAAACAACCTGTCAATTTGAAATCAAGATAGTCCATTCTATTATCCAGAAATTTCAGTATAATTTTCTCTAAAAAATAGGAACTCAGAAAAATCTAAACCTGTCTATAGAACTGACAATCATATATAACAATCATCATAATTCATCATACCACTACAATAATCAATACATACCCAATCATCAACACATATTGAACCACCAAAACATCAAGCTAGTCTCTACTAATTTCAAGAAATTTGGGCAAAATTTTCTCTAAAAATTGAAGTCCAAAAAAATATAAACCTGTCTATAAAACTTACAATTATACATAACAACAGCCATAAATACACCATATCACTACAATTCATCAATAGATATCCAACCACTAAAATAATCATCATTCCATACCCAACATATCACCACAATCATTATAACTATGTTTATCCAAACCATCAAAACAAAACCATCATACCCATGTATAATTAGTTAATTATACAGAAGACGGAACACAAAAATACACACATGCACAAATAGAGAAACACCTTCAACTTCATCTTCATATCCTTTCACGTATACCTAAAAATTGCAAAATATAACCAATTATCGAAATATGAGAGGCAAAATTAAACAATTATAAATCTGAAACATAAGACCTTTTACTTTTATTGTTAGTTGGATTTAACACTATCCCAAATTTTGTCGCAAGTGCCACAAAATATGTTTCCTAGAACCAAATATGACCCAATACGCGAGTGATCTTGGTTAGTGGAAAACCATCTCAGTCGGCAAGACTTTGGAACCAAATATGACCCAATAAACCCACAATCTCTTTCCCAACTGTCAAACAAAAACTAACTATTTTTAGTGAATCACCAAAAAACTTGGGACTTTAAGGGAAATGAAATGAAATGAGAGGGAAAATTGTCTTACTTGTGTAGGGGTGTCATGTGAAATTGTTAGCGGCATCTTTGTTGGTATTGAATTATTCGGCAACAATCGGTGATTTTCAATATGCAGTTTCGAGCTTACTGAAAAACTACTATCAATTTTAATATTCATACGAGAAAAATGAAACATATTATTTCCAATCACTAATACATTAGTTTTGATGTAATTCGTAAACCTTCCATTCAAAACCCCCCAAAAATTTTCATTCGCACAAATATTAAACATGGAAACTAACTCAACTGTCAAACCAAATTTAGTTAACAATTAAAAGAATTAAAAATTAATTACCTTAGTGGATCCCTCGATGGTGCTAATCTATGTCCAGCTGAGTAAATCATGATGTGTGGTTGAATAAGATAACCCCAATAAGCCCCTTATAGCCAGCCTCTACCAATCCATGCCTCTACAACCGGTGCAAATATTTTTGTCAATTTTCTCAGCTTGGTGTAACTATTCAGTGAAAACTCATTGGACAAATTCAATGCAAAATAGAGAATTAGAATGTCAAGCTTATTATCCTGATAGCTTCCAACACTTATAAAATAAACCAAAAGCATTTCCACGACAATATTGGTTGCTCAGAAGACAATATCCAAAAGAGAGAAAATATATACACCTGGCCTAACCTTGTCAAGTCCAATGCCGAAACAAAATTCCAAATTCAAATTAAAGTTTCAATTTTACTATAATATAAAAAAGAAATTTGCAAGCAAAACAAATATAAACAATATAAATTTGACCAAAATCCAAACCCTAATAAAAAAAACAGAGATAATATGCTTTAGTGATTACCAATACGTCATACATGAAAACTAACAAATGAAGAGCATTTCAAATCAACATCTCACACAACAATTTTCCTACTAAGAAAGAAGTTTGCTGATTGCATGGACCGTTAAATACTAATAAAATTAATACTTGGGAAAAAGAGACCAAGTAAAAAAACTAAAATGAAAACAATTAAAATTAATGACTATCCTATGTAAAAATGATTATGATTTTGTCGGCCATCATCAACATTTTCTCGACACCCGGTTCTCGTCTATTAATAAACTACAATCAATTAAAAGCAACTCAAAATCATTAAGCACAATATTATGATCCATAATTAAGAAGCACATTAAAACCATCCATTCAAGAATCTTACTAAACACGACAATTCAAAAAGATAAACAACCCAACACTATCAAACCAAATTTAACTAAACTAACCCTCAATCTTTTACCTCCTATAAACGCTCTATCGACACTGCTCTCGAGACCACCACAAACTTTGATTCTTTACTTGGATCAGTACCAATAAGTCAATAATCAACGCAAACAGCATCATTACGATCACCACCATCTAATCAATCACTGCGTCTTTTTGTGTTCGCAACTGCTGCCTTTATAGGGCAAGATCTAATATGAGGGTAGAGTGCAATTGGACAAAGTTGCTGCCTCAATATCCAATTTTTTCTTTGTTCCTTCAAAAAAATTGGACAAAGTTTCCTCTAAAACATGACCCCAAGAAAATATCAACCTATAGCAATAAACCCATCCCTAAAGGCACTATGGAATATAAAAAATTGTTCATGGCACTCCTCAAAACAAAATGTTCAATACTTGATATGTTTGTAGCGTTGGTAAATGATACCTATTGCATAACTAATCTGAACAGTATATTCCTTTTTTTTCGGTAAGTAACAGTAAATTGTATGGTCTTCGGTGGTGAGAGTGAAATAACGCAATAGTAAGAATAATAACAACATTAGCCCTTGCCATCTCTACCTTGAAAGATGTGATGACCAACAAAGCATAACATTTTCACAAAACTAAATAAACATGAATATAATGTGTATGCCCTTATCCGTCCCAAATCACCCATATTGATGCACCAAAATTCCTCAACCATGAGGCTAGACAAAGATTACATAGCAGTAGCAAGAGCTCCAAAGCGATTTCCATGACCTAAATATTTCCATCTAAAAAATAACCTACTTCCATAAACCAATTTGTCTTAGTTACATGCTTATGTACGTAGGATTCCCACCGCCATGAACAACTTCATGCTTGGAAACCGCTTGCTCTAGCCTCTCACTGGCACCATACATTGCCAATAACCAAAAGACAAAATCCAAGGCTAAGTGGTCACCACAATAGATACAACTATCTAGAAATTAGAGCCAAATGAATTTATCATAATTTTCTGGTCAACATAATTCAAATAAAATACTACCAATCAATAACTTTCTGTATATGTTTGAAGCAATTCCATCAAAAGTATACTTTATTGCGTAACGTACTAAAATTAGATAATCAATTGAAACAATGTTCAACTATTGAGGAAAATGTATTAAAACAATAGTAATTAACCGAATCAGAGTTCAACTATCGAGGAAAATACATTAAAACAATAGTAATAGTCATAAACTTCTTTTGAAATTGATTCTGCTAAAAACCAGAACAAAACACAAAGCCCAAACAACATAGGAGATAAGAAAAAGTATTATCATTTGAGTTCTTTTCATTGAAGCAACACAACAAACAACTTGTAATCATATTGAAAACAGTTTGAAGAATAATTATTTCAATTGCTGTAAATACTTGCTTTCCTCTAACCAGTTGCACTTGAAGAGAAAAGTTAATGAGAAACAATTTTTAGATTCTACATAATTGATGTATACAGCAAACCAACTAACTTTTACCAATCTACAAACATACCATAGGAGCAACCAAAACCACCATGATAGACGCAACAAACAACACTAATGCCAAAAGGAATGAAAAAAATTCTAATGCATGATGTTACATGGAAATACTAAAAATATTCTAGAAAGCATAATTTCCTAAAAAGATTCTATCCAAAGCAGCCAACTTGAAATTCCAACTGAAAAACTCAGACATGTCAGCTGATAACAAATGCCCAACTGCTGTGCTGAACAGTCACGTGTATAGTGACATCCAGCTACAGCATTCCAGCTGAGCAAAATGGTCCAGCTGCAGTGTAATAGCTGAGAAGTAACAGCTGGTAAGAGGAGAGCAGTTGCTGTCTTGAAGAGTTGAGGGCAATGGCTGAACAGTGACTGTTCATTTTGCTGCATCCAGCAGGGAGGTGAACAAATCATGCAATTTACGAATTTAAAGACATCGTGCAATGAAAAATTGAGCACTAATCATGTAATTTATTTTTTTTATTACACGATTTTAAATCAATCAGCTAATTAACATAAAAGAAAGAAGGAATAATACCCTTTATTTTTCGAAAGGAATACATGAGCCAATTTCAATCCAATTTGATTCTCTTTATTTTTCAGTCAATTTAATAGATTACTAACCCTTAAAATCTCAAACCATAAACACCATATCCCCTTCACCCACAACTAATTATCGAACGCTCTTTCTCCATAACTAAAACCATCAACGATATTGATGCCATGACAGTTCGCTCAAGACACCAAACATTTAACTAACATAAAAAGAATTTCAACCCATTTATAGCCTATAGCAACAACATTCATGATCAAAAACACAATTCAAACAGTCAAACATGTTCATGGGTTTTGGGTATGTAATTAAACAGGACACAAGACAATCAGGCAAACAGTCACTCTAGCCAATGATGTCACCATTTCACCTTGAGTTGTTATGAGGCTGATAGAAACCAATTAGATTGTCCCTTACAATCCCTTTTTTGCAAAGATAAAGTTGAATAGATACCTATACATTGCAATCACCTACTCCCACTATTGAATAAATAAGAGAGAGTTGCTATGGACCATCTAATGAACATGGAGGACCAAGAAAGAACAAACATGTTGAATAGGTACAGGCCAATTTTGTACCAGTAACAACTCCATTCGACATGCCCAAGGACAAACAAACACACATATAAGCTCCATTCCAAACAACTAATATTTATTTTCTTTTGTTTCTAAATGAAATTAGCAAACCAAACATGAATAGTGTATAGTTTTAAGTTCAAGAGCATATCATAGCTTGTAGGTCAAAATCTAAATCAATCAACAAACACTTAAACCAAACTATGTAGGTCAAAATTTTACACCAATAAGCCTCTTGACAAAAAAATTGGTTTTAAAATGGAGAGAAATTATTCAAAATCCATGGCGAGAAATTATTCAAAATAGCAAGACCTAAGTTAAAATAGGAGTAATGTAAGAATCAAACCTTGGACCTTCATAAATCCATCGTTGCAACACCATGATTGTCATTTTTGCAACATCCATTGATATCATAGAAGTCAACCCCTGTGTAACAAACACAATGTTCTTTAATAGCTTCACACAGCTATTACAAACAAATAATTAGAACCAAATCATCAGTTCATAAGCCTTGATAGACAAAAAAAAAAAAAGAGTCGATGTATGTGACTGTGATTGCGTGCTCTAGCTGGGTGGGGGGTCTGTTTGTGTTTGTTCGAGAGGGAGAGGGAGAAGAGTTTATCTGGGTCGGTGGGGTGGCCGGTGAAGGGTGAGAGGGAATAGAGAGGTCGCAAAGGAGGAGACAGATAGAGAGACGTTGATGGTGGTGGTGTTGCTGGTGATGTCGCTGGGGTGTAGCAGAGAGAGAAGGAGAGAGAGAGAGAGAGAGGATGAATGAAAAAAAAGAGGTAGAGGTCTAAAAATAAAAACAGAGATGTAGGGGGAGGCTGCTTCTCTGACAGATGAAGGGACTGATTCTGGACTGATTTTGAAAAATAATGAGTAAAAAAAGATGAATTTGGGGGGAAAACGAAAGAGTATTAATGGTCGTAGGATGAATGAAATGATTTGAGGCCGTTGGATGTTGAAGCTTCCCAGTTTTATATTATAGAATTGTTAAAATCCATATGCACACACTCACATACACAATAAAGATATACACTGAGAGGAGTTAGACAAATTAGAAAGTTTTTCGTAAAGTAATTGTACATCCACTCATTCTGTGTCTCAACAATTCAATTTGGGGAAACACATGGTGTGTACACTATTACTTTACGGAAAACTTTCTATTGTTTGCGCCTACCATACTCAAGAAACGTGCGCGTTGTCGTGTAGCCATAATTATCTTTGGCAGGTAGCACCCCTTCAGATGGTGACCAAAACTTAACGGTCCAACTACTCTTCTTTTTCCCCTTATTCTTTTTGGAAGTGCCTACCATTCTTGATAATCCCTTTAATTCTATGAACATGCCAAAACCAATAACAATTGATCATAAAAAAATAACAGGCAAGTGTATGGACATACTGGACCATTAGAAATTGACACTCATAGGAAACCAACTATTTATAATAAATTGATTGAAATCTTGCACTTTTGACAAACTATGAACAGATGATAAAATAAATTTGACAAATACACTACCAAATAACTGAAAACTGCATGTAAACACAATATATGATAAGATTCTGATGCTCAAAATGAATTATAGTGCAGTTAATTGCTAAGAAAGAGAAAGTGTTAAGCTTCTAACTAGGTACAAATTCTTGTGGCTGTCAATATGTGTTAGGAATGTTCTTTGATATGTATTGCTTATGTTTTGTTTATGGAAGTGATTGGGCTGTCCATCATAGCTTGGTTTATGTAAAACTTTAAGTTATCTATTAATATCATTTTTGTTTCTTATCAAAAAACAAATAAAAAATGCATAATACACTTCTAAGTGTCTTATATTGTTGTTTACTAATGATGGACAGAATGAGTGAATACACTTCTAAAGAAATCAATGTATTCTAAGCTAATTTACTTCACACTTTTAGGAATCATGATTTCACATTGAAACAAAAAATATAGATCGCATAAACCAGAAAAAAAAAAAAATAGACGGCCGAGGAAGATCACTTGGAAAACCTTGGAAAAAGCAAAGGGTCCCTAGCCCCTTTTAACTATGTCGTTAACCAATCCACCAGGTGTCGTTATGTGCCATCTTACTTCCCCCCATGGTTCTAAGTAAACAATCAGACCACTAAAAATGCCCCTCACACAATAACCCTAAAATCATAAGCACCAACAACAACCCTAAATTCAAAAACTCTAAAACAGTAGAAGCCTAGAATAACCAGTAGACCCTACAATTCATATCTACAATTCAAAAATAAAAAGCACAAAAAGAATCATAAAACCCGATGGAGTTTGGGTCTAAATTATGATTTACTTTCATTGAGCCAACAAATAGTTTGAAAGCATAAATTCAAAATCTATAAAAGCCACCAGTTTACACAGTATATACAATGCCTAAAATAACGAAATTTTTGTGGAAAATGTAGAGAGAGGGGAAGGAGAGGAGCAGTAAAGGGAAGAGAAATACCTTGATGGCATAGGGGGACTGGTCGCTAGAGACACTGATCGATGGTCGCTAGAGACGTTGATTGATCGATGGTCGCTGGTTCGCTGATCGATGGTCGCTGGAGACACTGGTGGTGTCGCTGGGGAGTAACAGAGAGAGAGAGAGAGGACTGACAGTGAAAAAAAAAAAGGGAAGAAACAACGATGAAGCATGGAGGTCTGAAAAAAAATAAAAAACAGAGATAGTAGGAGCAGAGGCTGGGTTGGGTTGGATGTGATGGTTGGGTTTGGTTAAGTTGGGTTGGATTTGATGGTTGGGTTGAATGAGATGGATTTAAGGAGAAAATATATGGACTTTTGAATTTGAATGAGATGTATTGTGAGCCTTTGGATGTTGAAGCCTTTGGATGAATGAAGACCGTACGATCGACTTATTGAAGGCCCGCTCTGTTTTATATTATAGATAACTACCAAAAATTGGGAACAAATATCATAGATAAATAATCCTTCAAGTAAACCATGTACTGAAAAAAAAAATAATCATTGAACATAGATGCTTATGAATTCAAAAAACAAACATATAATCATTGAAAAATTATCTCATACATGTGTGGAAAAAGCAATTAAAACTATAATAAAAGTCATGAACCTAGAGCTGACGCAAGTTGCAATACATTAAAAAGGGTAGTAATATTTACACCGAGTCCAACAACACCTCTGGATATACGATATTTGTCGTGGTTGCTGATCCATTAGGAGGAAGGACACTGATGCGATCAGCCGACATGCATCTAGACATGGCCACATATAGGTGACCGTGGCTAAATACAGGCAAACACAAATCTACACCAACAAACTTGACTGACTGGCCCTGCGACTTATTGATTGTCATAGCATAGGTTAAGTGTACGGGGAATTGGCGTCTAGTCATTTGAAATGGTAATTCTTTAGACGACGGTGATAATGATATCCGCAGGATGAAACACAAGATTCCCAAATTTGTCACCAGTTAGAATTCTAGCCTCAATAACCCGCGATGCGCACTTGACAACCATTAGTCTGGTCCCGTTACAGAGGCCATCTTTCGGGGCTATATTCCTCAACAAAATGATGGGGCACCCGACCTTTAGCTCCAACTTGAAAGGCGGTAAACCTGACGGGTTTAGGGAATTTAGAAACTCACTTGGATATTGATTAGTGGTAGAACGACAGTTCGTCCCCATCCGACACCTTGTCAACTGTCAAGTAGGTAACGTCTCGCCAGGGTAAATTTGTAGAGCAACATCATTAATAGAGCAGACATCATCATTTCGAGCGGAAAGAATTGTGTGCTCAGTTAAGTAGGATGAAGTTACTGCACGGAGCACATCTAGTTGTGGATAAACTCTAGAAATTAGTTCATGCATAGTTTGACACCTGTGTATCGTTGGTGGAAGTTCAACAGTATCCTGCGTACTGATCTCAATCTCAGTATGATGTGAAACATATCAGTACATGTAAATGAATAATTGGACGGTTTTGTATAAAAAAATCTATAATATAACTCACCTCTTCCAAGAAGGATGCGTGAGAAGAATTTGCAGGATAATTACTATTCAAACGCATGTTTATGCTCAAAGTCAATACGCACACACTCGCCCACATTGCAGAACGTCTTAAGGATGCACCAACAATTTGTTCTCGGCCACCCTTAGGTATAACCGGTAGTATTTGACGAAAATCCCCACCAAGCACGATCGCGATACCGCCGAATGGTCGGGTTATCATCACGAACATCGCGGAGTGTGCGATCAACTGCTTTAACACCATGTCGATGCTGCATGGGAACCTCATCTCATATTATTAAGCGAGCCTCCCTAAATAATTCCCCATGCGCTGACTGTTTGCTGAAACCACATACCGAGCTTTCTATGATATCGAAAGGAATGCAGAATGTAGAATGAGCTGTCCGACTGCCTAACAACAACAACGAAACAATTCCTGATGAAGCAACTGTAATGACGATATGACCTTCGCTGTGCATTCTAGTGGTGATGGTGTTGTACAAAAAGGTTTTTCCTATTCTCGTACCTCCATTGAGGAAAAAAATTTTGCCTTGATTTTCCGCAACGGAGATAGTGATAGCATCGTAAGCCGTACGTTTATTATTTAAAACATCAATATTCAAAAGGTCATTCAGTTGATTTGCTTCGTTTCGTAGTTGCATATGATCGATCAACAATCTATTACCTGTAACATTACTCCAATTTTCAATGGAGTGTGGCATAGGTGGGAAGTCATTCAATTTTTTGCCAGATTCATGTAGCAACTGATTAATCAAATATAAAACATAATCTTCGATCTGAGGCTGCGTTTGATCGCATATGCCAAAAGTTGTTTGTATCTTGTGACGAAGATCATCACATATATGGATGGAGAATTGATCCCACAGAGTGCATGACTGTATTGGCGAGCATTCTACCAGAATGATGTAGAATAGTCTCCGTAACTGGTATCCAGTATTCATGGTTGAAGCCTCCTGGAGGCATTGTACCCACTCTACATCATCTTCCAAGAGCCCCATAGCTACACAAGCTGATTTGAAACTATCATGAAACACACCATTGATTGTGCGTAGACAATCAAAAGACCGCGGTCCTTTAACAACTGTTAATAGCAACCGAAGGTAAAACCGCTCCCCAGAATTGGGCGTAGCAAAGTATAATCTGTCAATTGCAAAACTGATTTGCCTCGGAGTCCAAATCTTCCGACCTTTGTTCCAAACAAAATGTTGGGGAAATTCTTGGTATGTGTAGGCACGTGCAACATCATTTGAAGAACAGTCAAAGAATCCAGTCAGAGTTGTGTTTTGACTCCTAGACCCAAGTCTAATTGTTTCAAGAGTTTTAGCAGGATCGTAAACAACTTGATGCATACCAGGTAAATGTAGATCTAGCTGTACAATTGAAGGAATTTCTTCATGGAGAGGATAACCGAAGAGTCGCCATGCAGCCTCTGTCAGTCCAATATACCCTGCATCAAGGTATTGATTTATCTCATTGTTTCCATCTGGTCCCTCTAAAATCATATTTGTGCGATCATGACCTTTGTAAATGTACTTGTGGATATATTTAACACACCTCATTCCTGCACAGACCTCCACGTTTATATGACAGTTGAACTTTCTTGACAGGTGTGGATTGTAAGGTACGACGTCCCGATTATCAAATGTATGCCCTCTGGTGGTATAAGACTGACCATTACGGCGACGACGGTAAACAGGGTATCCATGTTCATCCATAGTAGTCGAATCTGCAAAGGCTTTTGGATAATGGAACCGACACGCACCGTTCACAATGCAAGTTGAATGTGGGTTTCGAGAACCACACGGACCATGAACCATACAACTCTTGATTGTTTCGTAGAGACTTGGATCAGTGGATGGATCTGGGTATTCAGCACTAACTAACCAATCCACTTGTGCAGTTGTCTGAATCTTGTTTGGACCATGAAGGAAGAATAAAACATGCATGTGTGGTAACCCTCGTTTTTTAAACTCAATGGTGAATACATGAGCAACTTTTCGACCAAAAATTTGTTCACTTTTTACCTCATGCATCAGGGCACGCCGTTTTAACTCAAATACACGGGCAACTATGTCTGGACGATCAAAGAGGTTTGGTGTTCTAGTAAGACAGCTGTTATTTCAGGCCATTTTGGTTTGGCCGTCATGGTGAGAAAGATGTCAGGGTGTTGGTGGTACCTTGTAATGGTCATTGAGTCATGAAAAATCTGGCTCATGTTACGTGCACTCCCAGTAAAGGACGATGGCAAAACAAAGCGTTGTCCGATCTAATCGGGGCCCAACTCATCAACACTGCCATCACACAAATTTGCGTAAAGCTCCCGACATAGCTTATCCTGATTGAGTCTGATGTAAGATAACCTATTTTGCTCCATTGATGCCCAAGCATCTACTACAAACTCTTGAAATAACTTTCCTCCTCTGAGAATTGTTGAATACTCAGTGGGACGTGGAAACATACGATAACTGTAAAATTGCATCTGTGTAATCCTTCTTACTAAAAAATCACTTTGTTTGGAGTTCCATTGACGTAGACCAGGCTCCCAACCAAGCTCACCAGTAGGGAATAAAAGTACATAGTGTAATGGTAAATATGCTGGATGACACTCATTGATCTGGCTCAGCGCTCTATTATCTCCTCTTAGGTGCAGAACAATATCCCGCATAGAACAACTCTCACTATCATCACCAGGCAAAATCACAGCTATTTCATCCATGGTTGGAAGGTTGTATCGATGCCTATCATTTGATGAGGTGTAATGAAGGTGAGCACGTAAATCATGATCTGAAGATTCTGACTCGGTGAGAATTTCGTGTGCTCTTTTGTACTTTGAAGCAAAATGATTCACTGACAACAAACAACTCTGTATAGTATAAAGTACATCACGACGCATGTTTGTATTTCGCGCACATCGAATATTCAATGCAGTGATTGGGTCGTATATGTACAACTGACAATAGATAGGTGCGTGACCTTTCGGGGGTAACAATGACCCAGTCCGATGACGTAATTTCCCATGGATAGTGAATGACCTTGGTCCTCTTGAATTAAGTAATCTGTCATCAAGCTTAGCACCCAAGCTCGTGAAAGCATTGGATGCATTGTACTCTAATATGTCGGCGAAATGATTTTGATTGACCATCATGGCCATCATACAATGCACGAATAGGAGGTGGGGGTGCAATGAGTTCTGGCAACCTAATTTTGCCTTGTAGGCAACATGTTCCAAATCTTGGATTAGACAATCCTGTGCGAGTTAATCTCTCATCCCGCCAATGTAAGGCCGAACAATAAGGACACTGAATATTCA